CCGCGAACTTGGTCACTGGGGCTTCCTTCAAGCCTTATTATCGGGGCCAGTGGTTCTCATTGGGGCGGCCCTGCCCCCAGGGGACACTGGGCGATGTCTGGGACGTGCGGGGCAGTCGGGACTGGGGGAGCTCCTGGAGTGGAGTCGATGAGGCGGGGGTGCTGTTCCACACCCACAGCGCCTGGGATGGCCCCAAACAACTATTCCTGCCACAGGGCACGCAGGGCTGAGGCGGAGGAGCCTCTCTGCCCTCTCCCTCTGGGCTGCCAGAGACACAGCGCTCAGGGCAGGATGGATGGCACGCGGCCCCCAGTGCCCCCACCTCGAGGACACGGGGGCCGGGCTCGTCTCCCTGACCCACTGAGTCTGTGAGCGCGCATCGGGCCCGACCCAGGCCCTCTGTGTAATACGCCGGCTGGCTCCGGTCCCCTGTTCCCGGGCTGGGCTGCCGGATGGCAGAGGAGCCAACTAAGACAACACGGCAAACACGAGGGAGGTCAGACTTGAATCGCTGACAGGGGAGGCCAGAGACAGGGCGGAGCTCCCGGCCACCCCTCCCCCATGTCGAGGGCCGTGGGGTCAGGCGAGGGGCTCCCCTCACCGCAGAGGGAGCCCCAAACCAAAGGCTCCTAAAGTTTCAGGCACTCAGGGGCCAGGGGGAAGGGAAGCCAGGAGCGGAAAACCACTGAGCACTGAGTACTGAGTACTGAGTACCAAGCAGAGAGGTGCCCTGCTGGTTTCTTCCTTCTCCTTAAGGAGGCTGTGGTCAAGGCACCTCAACAGACTTCAGCTGGACTACAGACAGAGACCTAGGGTCAAGGGCCCAGTGGCGAGGAATGCAAATGTGCAGCGAGCAAACCCCCCAGTGTAGACGCCTGCCAGCCAAAGCCTCTGGGATTGTGGGTAGGCAGGCCTGAGAAATCGTGCGCCGGTGGTAACCACGTGGACACCACCGCACTCACTCCAGAGCGACGCACGGCCCAGGGAACCTTATGCTAATGAGGGCACTCACGTGGGGACGGGACCACGCACCTGATCAGGGGGCGAGGGGCTTTCAGCCACGGAGGTCAGCCCAAATTCTGGAAGCTTCCTCACAGCAGGGCTCCCCTGAACCACAGAGCTGTACATCCCACTTACAGTATCTGAAATGCCTGGGTACTGACTGTACCTAATCTTTTTCTGACTTAATATTTTTTTCTTCAAATGCACTTTCCAGTCTTATTCTACGGGGTATCTGTGATATCTGTTTCATATACCAAGTTTCTGAATACACATGAAAATAATCTTTAGCCAATAGTTCAACATGAAACATTTAAGACGATCTTTTGCGCGGTCAGTGACACATGCCCCACACCTTGTACTGTATCCCTACTGTTCAGCACAGTGCTTAGCACCTCCTGGACACCACTTAAATGCTGCCAAGTGCATGACGGAGTGGACAAATGAATGCGGGGGGAGATGGGTGGTGGGTGTGTGAGTGGGCAGGTGGGTAGATGGATGCATAGGTAGGCAAATGGATGGATGAATGGCTGAGTAGGTAGGTGGAGTGGTGGGTGGATGAATGGATGGACAAGTAGGTGGGTGGATGGATGGATGGGTGGATGGATGGATGGTTTTAACGAAAACCTGGCTTAGGGCAAAGGTCAGTTAAGTCTTTCATCCCTGTCCAAAGCTACTCACCTTCCCTTGGTCAATGAGAAGCAGCCCAACCTGTGACAAGGAGTGAAAGTAGAAGACCCCACCCAAAGACCCGACTAGTTCTGCCTGTGAAACAAACAGAAACATACAACACATGAAGAAATCATTAACATGTGTTTGATTTTGACTCCACATCACCTAGTAAGCTAAAATGAAGGAAAGTCTATTTTGTTCTGGTCTATTTCCCCTCTAGGGAAATGTAGCATGTAGGAGAGAACCTTGAATGAAGGCAGCCTTGTTTGGGGGGTGCTGGGGGAAGTGGTGCGACCCAGATTGCCAGATGCTTGCCTAAATCATTGCCTCCTGCCTTGGTTCCTCATGCCTGATTTCTGGTTGGTCAGCAAAGTGCCTGGAAGCCAAGCGGAGGCATGAGGTCACCCAAGGGCCCTAACCTAGGGGCAGTGGGACAACACAGCTGGCTGCCTCCAGACATCTCCAGGTAAGAGAGAGAAAGACTATTATTTTATTTAAGCCTCTTAAGTTATTAAGGGGAACTTTCTAATAGAGACAGTGCCATGAACTGAATTGTGTCCCCCCACCAAATTCGTATGTTAAAGTCATAACCCCCCGTCTTAGTCCATTTTGGCTGCTAATGGACAGTTTGGCTGCTTAGTGCATTTTGGCCAAAATGCCACGCAGTAGCTTATAAACAACAGAAGTTTAGTGCCCACAGTTGTGAAGGCTGCAAATCTGAGGTCAAGGTGCCAGCACGGGTCACGTGAAGGCCCTTCCGGGTTACAGTCCTCTTGCTGTGTCCTCACATGGCAGAAGGAGGCTAGCAAGCTCTCTGTGGTCTCCTCTTTTATAAGGGCACTAATCCCAATCATGGGGACTCCACCCTCATGATCTAAATGCTCCCAAAGGCCCACCTCCTAATACCATCACATAAAGCACTAGAATGGCAGCACATACATTTTGCGGGGAGGGACACAAACATTCAAACCAGCAAACCCGATGGGATAGTCCTTGGAGGTGGGGCCTCGGGTAGGTAATTAGGTTTAGATGAGGCCGTAAGAGTGGAGCCCTGATGATGGGGTTAGCTTCCTCGTAAGAGACACTAGAGTGTTCTCTCTTCTCTGTGTGAGGACACTGTAAGAAGGTGGCCATCTGTGAGCCAGCAAGAGAGCCCCCACCAAGGGCTGAATCTGCCAGTGTCTCGATCTTGGACTTTGCAGCCTCTAGGACTAGGAGAGATAAATGTCTGTTGCTTGAGTCACCCAGTCTGTGGGGTCTGTTGTGGTGGCCCAAGCTGACCAAAGCAGGCAGTCAATCCATCCCAACTGGCAGGAGTTGCCCATCAGCTCCCCACCAGACACGCCGACTCCTCCCCTGCTGGCAGAACCCCAAGGGGATGAATCACGATTGCTTGGAATCTCAGCCCTTTGGCACAAAAATAACAATAACCACGCATGCACGCATGCGCGCACACACAGCAGGAAGACTACTGTATTAATAATTGGTGTTTGAGTGAAGGGGACATCGCGGAGAAGAGTAAACATCACCTAGAACTTGACCTTCTCCCCTGGGGAGGGGAGGAGTGCATTTTTGGTTGTACTTAGGATAGTCGTATTGTGTTGGGCAGAATGACGACCTTGTCAGTGTCTTTATTTGGAGAGGAAGTACGGAGATGTGTATGGATGCCAAGCTGACCAGGGGTGGACTCGTGTTGGTTCGTCGTATGTGTCAGCTGGACGGAGCTAAGGAATGCCCAGGGAGCCGGTAGAACATTATCTCTGGGTGTGTCTGTGAGGGTGATTCTGGAAGAGATTAGCATTCAGTTCAGTAGACCCAGCAAAGAAGGCCACTCTCACCAGTCTGGGTGGGCATCACCCAATCTGTCGGGGGCCTTACACGGAACAAAGAGGGGGAGGAAGGGTGAATTTTTCTCTCTTCTCGAGCTGGGATGTCCATCTTCTCCTGCCCTTGGACACCGGAGTTTTTGGTTCTCGGGCCTTTGTCTTCAGACTGAACAGCACAACCAGACTTCCTGGTTCTCCAGCTCATGGATGGCAGACTGTGGGGGCTTCTCTGCCCGCATAACCGTGTGAGCCAATTCCTATTATCGGTCTGTCTGTCTGTCTGTCTGTCTATCTATCTATCCATCATCTACTACCTATCTACCTTTCGGTGTTTCTAGTGATGACAGTTTTCAACGAATCACACATGTTAACCCTGAGTCCTTCTAGGCTTACTTCCGGATGAAAGTATGTAGTCGGTTAGGTTCTAGGCTCCCTTGGGCCTCCTGGGCAGGGCAGAGAAAGAGCGTTTGGGACACAGAGTTTGTGAGCAGAGTAGACTCTTTCTTCCTTCCTTTGCACATACTTCCCGAGTGTTTGGGGGGTGAGGCCATTCTTTGCATCAGAACAAAATCTCCTCATCCCCTGGGCTACCCCAGCAGCCTGTCCACTCCAGCTGTTGGGATCCCAGCCCTGCCCGGCACTCCTCTGGGCCCTCACCCCTCTATCGGTTTCCTGGGGCTGCCATGTGCTCGATGGCTTAAAACCACGGAAATTTACCGTCACCTTTGTGGAAGCCAGAAGTCTGGTGTTGGCAGAGCCGGCTCCTGCCGAGGCTGAGGGAGAAGCCACGCCACACCTCTCTTCCAGCTCTTGGTGGTGGCCAGTAATCCTCGGCATCCCTTGGCTTGTAGCCGCACCCCTGCAGGGTCTCCCTGCGTCTTCACACGGCCCTCTTCTCTGTGCGGGTCTCCCCGTGTCCTCTCCTTCTCTTACAAGATACCAGTCCCTTTGGATTTAGGACCCACCCTGGTCCAGTGTGACCGCATCTTGACTAACTAAATCTGCAAAGACCCTTGGGGCGCCTGGGTGGCGCAGTCGGTTAAGCGTCCGACTTCAGCCAGGTCACGATCTCGCGCTCCGTGAGTTCGAGCCCCGCGTCGGGCTCTGGGCTGATGGCTCAGAGCCTGGAGCCTGTTTCCGATTCTGTGTCTCCCTCTCTCTCTCTGCCCCTCCCCTGTTCATGCTCTGTCTCTCTCTGTCCCAAAAATAAATAAACGTTGAAAAAAAAATTAAAAAAAAAAATCTGCAAAGACCCTGTTTCCAAGTAAGGTTACACTCTGAGGTCTCTGGGGTTCTGGATGAACCTAATTTGGGGAGGGTGGGCATATATTCGACCCAGGACAGTTCTCTCGTCTGTATAATTGGGATGATGATGTTACCTGATGGTACGGATCTTTGGATGGGCCTGGGGCTAAGGGCCATAATTATTGTGCAGCCTTTACTGTGGCTTTACCACAGTGTCCTATGACCTAACATCTTTTGTATCCTTTCCTAACTCCCTAGTCTCCCTAGCCAGCTCCTTGGACCTTGAATTTCCCCTACCCTCCCAGCCAGTTGGACTCTTTAAAGAGAGAAAAGCCCTTGGCCACCCAGCGACTGCTGATTACCCCCACCATGCAGGAGGTAAATATCTATTTGTTGATTTTGCTGTTCATGTTCTTACCAAATTGAACATACCTGTCTTTCGTAGGCAAACTTCTGAAATGTGTATCCCCGGGTGTTTGAGAAATACACATGGGTCTGAGATATCTGATCTCCATGCAAATAAGCAAACACGGAATTACTTATATCCTGGAAGAACAGACACATAGAAGTCTCTTTACTTTTTTTCCTAAATTTTTTAAATGTTTGTTTATTTTGAGAAAGAGAGAGAGAGAGCAAGCAGAGGAGGGGCAGAGAGAGGGAGAGAATCCCAAGCAGGCTGAGTGCTGTCAGCACAGAGCCCCACATGGGGCTCAGACTTACAAACCCTGAGGTCATGAACTAAGCCGAAATCGAGTCAGACGCTTAACCGACTGAGCCACCCAGGTGCCCCATAAAACAGTCTCTTTAAAAGCAGAGAAAGGGTAGAGCTTGCAACTGACAGACAGATACGTTTTAGAGAGTCTAATGCACAGCATAGCGATGGCAGGCAACAATATGTATTAGCAATTTCAGAGTTGTTAAAAGACTAGATCTTAATTGTTCTCACCACACACCAAAAAGGGTAATCATGTGATGGAGGTGTTAGTGAATGCTATGATGGCATTTACTGCCACCTATACGTGTATCAAATCAATACACTGTGCACCTTAAATTGACACATTGTTGTATCTCAATTATATCTCCATGGGGGGGAGAAAAAGGAGATAGATGTCGGTGATCACGCTGCTGGGTGTTTATCCTAGAGATGAAAACTTCTGTGCGCACAAGAATGAAACCTTCATGGCAGCTTTGTTCGTAATAACCCCCAAAATGGAAACAACCAAGTTCACTCCGTGGAGTATTACTCAACAACGAAGCGGAGTGGGTTCAATACAAGTTTCCGGAGCACTCTGCCGAGAAGAGCTGGTCCCCAGAGTCACATGTCGTACGATCCCATGTATAGAACACTCTTGGAATGATGAGGTTATAGTGAAGGAGAACAGCTTAGTGTTTGTCAGGGGTTGGGGAGAGTGGGGCAGGGGTGTATGGAGAGCTTTGGGGTGATGGAACAGCGTAGTATCTTGAGGGTAGTGGCAGTTCTGGGACTTCACACGTGTGACTTCAAACATGGCATAGAACCAGACACACGTGTTATTTCCACGTCGCTTTCCCAGTTTTAGTTTTTAGTATTTTTTTTAACGTTTGTTTATTTTTGAGAGAGACGGAGACAGAAGACAGAGCACGAATGGCGGAAGGGCAGGGAGAGGGAGGGAGACACAGAATCTGAAGCATGGCTCCAGGCTCTGAGCTGTCAGCACAGAGCCTGATGTGGGGCTCGAACCCACGAACTGTGAGATCATGACCTGAGCTGAAATTGGATGCTTAACTGACTGAGCCCCCCAGATGCCCCCTCAGGGGCCCCCCACGTTTTAGTTTTATACTGTAGTTACATAAGATGGAACCATTGGAAGAACCATTGGTAAAGGGGGCACGGGACTTCTTGTAGGGTCTGTAATTATTTCAAAATAGCAAGTTTAAAAAAGGAAGAAACTTATTTAAAAAAAAAGAGAGAGAGAGAGAGAGAGAGTAGGGGGCACCTGGGCGGCTCAGTCTGTTGAGCATCCGACTCTTGATGTCGGCTCAGGTCATGATCTTGTGGTTCATGAGATCAAGCCCCACATTGGGCTCTCCTCACAGTTGGGATCCAGGTTGGGATTCTTTCTCTGTTGCTCTCTCTCTCTCTCTCTCTCTGCCCTGCTCTCACTTGTGCACACGCTTTCCCTCTCAAAATAAATAAATAAACATAAAAAAAAAAAAAAAGGAACAAAGGTGGATATATTCCTGCCAGCCAGGGGATCCCTCTCCTGAACCGGGGAGAAGAGACATTGCCCAAGCCCATCCTGGGACTTGATGTGCCAGCTCTCATGGTTTACTCTGTCCTTATTTTCATTCTTAATTATCTATGTTCAAAGCACTGTAAAAATGGACAGGCTACACACTGTATACTCACCACACAAAAGGGATGTCCGCTGTAACAACAATTATCACCAGAAATATGTGAAACAGGGTGTTCTATACCTAAAAGGAAAAGAGGATAAAAAAAAACAAAAACAAAAAACCAAAAACATGAGTTTGTGGGGCGTCTGGGTGGCTGTTGTAAGAGCATGTGACTCTTGGTCTTGGGTTGTGGGTTCGAGCCCCATGTTGGGCATGGAGACTACTTAGAAAAAAATATAAATCATAAAAAACACGAGTTCCCTAATTTCCAGGGAAAAGGCTAGAGCGGGGTTTCTCAGCCTTGACCCTACTGACACTTGGGGCCAGATCGTTCTCGGTTGTGGGCAGTATCTCCAGACGATGGCAAGTGTCACCTGAGGGACACAGCCGTCAGAGCTGAGAACCATTGGCTTTGAAGGAACTCTTAGGACCCTGCCAAAATGGCAGGAAAGGCTCCTTTCTCTTGGCGAGGCGTTCATCGATTCTATTTTAATTATTTTAAATGTTTATTTTTGAGAGGGAGACAGAGAGAGACAGAGTACAAGCTGGGGAGGGGCAGAGAGAGGGAGACACGGAATCCGAAGCAGGCTCCAGGCTCTGAGCTGTCAGCACAGAGCCTGACGACGCGGGGCTCGAACTCATGAACTGTGAGATCCTGACTTGAGCAGAAGCCGGACGCTTAACCGACTGAGCCACCCAGGTGCCCCTTGTGGATTCTATTTTATTTTATTTTATTTTATTTTTTATTTTTTTTTTCAACGTTTTTATTTATTTTTGGGACAGAGAGAGACAGAGCATGAACGGGGGAGGGGCAGAGAGAGAGAGGGAGACACAGAATTGGAAACAGGCTCCAGGCTCCGAGCCATCAGCCCAGAGCCCGACGCGGGGCTCGAACTCACGGACCGCGAGATCGTGACCTGGCTGAAGTCGGACGCTTAACCGACTGTGCCACCCAGGCGCCCCAATGGATTCTATTTTAAAAGCAGAAGCTTCAGCTCCTAGGAAAATATACACGTGGCCAACAAGACATGAAAAGGTGCCCTCGACATCCCTGATCATTAGGGAAATGCAAAGCAAGACCACAGTGAGATAGCACACACGCGCATCAGGATGGTTATTATCGGAGACACAGCAAACGAGCGTTGGCGAGGGTGGGGAGTGACTGGAACCCTTGTGCACCGTTGGTGAGAATGTAAGCTGGTGCCTGTGGCATGGAAAACAGGGTGACGGTGCCTCAAAAAATTGAAAATAGAGCTCTGGAAATCCCACTTCTGGGTCTACGCCCAAAGGAACTGAAGGCAGAGACACAAAGAGATATTTGCACACGCGCCCCCATGCTTCATGGCAGGATTATTCACAATAACTGAAACATAGAGAAAGCAACCCAGGGGTCCAGCGGCAGATGAATGGGTGAACAGAAATATCACATATACACGCAGCGGAATATTAATTGGCCTTAAAAAGGCAGGACATTCTGGGGCACCAGGGTGGTTCAGTCCATTACGCATCTGACTTCAGCTCAGGTCATGATCTCACAATTTGTGAGTTTAAGCCCCGCACTGGGCTCTGTGCTGACTGTGCAGAGCCTGCTTGGGATTCTCTCTGCCCCTCCCACACTCATGCCTTCTTTCTCTCTCTCAAAATAAATAAATAAACTTAAAAAAAAGAGATAGAACATTCTGGCACCTATTATAATATGGATGAGCCTTGGGGACATGATGCTCAGTAGAATAAGCCAGACACGAAAGGACAAATCCTGTATGAGTTCACTTATATGATCCCGGGGGAGTCTCGTCCACAGAGACAGAAGGTAGGTGGTGGGAGCCAGGGTGGGGAGTTAGCCCTTTGGATGCTATTAAAGAAAGTTATGAAGAAAAGGGGAAGGACGGAGAGCAGACTGACTTATGTTACGAGGAACCCTTATGGTTCCTTCAATAAATTAAAACACGGAGTTTCCACATGGCCCGGAACCTGCTCTCCTCGGTTATATTACCCCAGGGAACTGAAAACCTACATCCACACACAAACTCATGCACAAAGGTGCATCGTAGCACTATTCGCGAATACCCAAAAGAACGAAACCAACCGAACGTCCACCGGCTGATGAACGGATAAACAAAAGTGGTTCATCCACACGGGGGAACATTATTCAGCCTTAAAAAGGAGAGAGGCAGTGACACCCGCTAAAACGGGGAGAAACCTCGAACACACGACGCTGGGGGAAGGAACCAGATACAAAAAAGCCACAAGGGGTGTGAGTCCGTGTGTGTGAAACGTCCAGCACAGGCTCATCCACAGACAGGAAGGGGGACCGTGACTGCCAGGGGCTGGGGCTGGGACTGGGGCTGGGGCTGGGGGGGAGGTGCCAGCTAATGGGGGAGTGTCTCTTCTGGGGGTGACAGAATGTTCTGGAACTAGACAGAGGTGATGATTGTGCAACATTGCGAATGTTCTAAATGCCCGAGTACTTTGTACACTTTAAGATGGTTGGAAATGGCCAGTTTTTATGTGAATTTTATGCTTCCCTCCCCCGCACCACCTCCCGCCAAAGGAGAAAGAGGCATGAAGCTAAGATTGAAAAGAACTGAACCGAAGGTCAAAGGTCGACAATAGGTGAGGGGTGGGGGGGCGAGGCACTGCAGAGCTAGAGGGAGCCAGCCTGGGAGAGTTGGGAGGGAGGAAGCGGGGAGGGCCAGGAGGCAGTTTGGCTGCGAGCAGTGAGTGCTGTAAAGAATGGATGGGCTCATGTTCTGGAGGCAGCTCTGTATTTGGTTTGGATGTGAAAATCGATGGGCCCAAGGCTGGTCAGAGCAGTTTCTGTGGCCTGGAACTACCGTCGGGTTCGCAGCCCCACTCGGGGTTACGTACATTCTCTACCAGCAGTCCACACCGCGCCTGTGCACGGCCCCCACGTACCCGGGATCCGTGTATTCGGTCACCTTGTTCTCGGAGGTCACCCTGGAACTCGCTCGAGAAAAGTCAGACAGAGGCCAAGCCAAGGTGTGGCTCTTCTGCTGTGCTTCTCGGTCCCTCTCAGGGCTGCAGGCCCCTCGCCGGCCAGGGCTCAGCAAACACCTGGCAGGTACCACACTGGCTGGGCCAGGTTCCGTCTCGTGGGGCCCACAGTCTTTTGCCAAAAGTAACGCAAGTGAAGCAAAAGATGAACGAGTTGCCAGATGGCGATCTACCAGCCCGGTGGCTCTGGACTCGGTGATATCTGGGGACATTTGGGGCATCAGGATGCATCGGTGGAGGGGTGCTCCTGACATGGGGTGGGTGGGGCCAGGGATGCCCTACACCCCACAGTGCCCAGGGTGCCAGCACCCCCCCCCCCAGAGAATGACCTGGCCCTAAATGTCAGCAGCAGTAGGGTTGAGAAACCTTGATGGACCTCTTTCTTTCTCATCTCAATGGGTACCCAACCATCCTTCTTTTCCAAAGAATAGTACCTTCCTTGTCTTCGTTCTCGACCTCGCCACCTTGCATGCTACGGGATGGTTCTCTTCTTTCTCTCTCTTCATATGGCTTACCTTCTCTCCTGTTCTCTGTCCCTAACATGCAGTAGGTGGGGTGAATATTCCCATCACCCAGGCTTGTCACCAAGTGCGTACAAGCCATTCTTGGCCCTCCTCGATCCTTCCTGACATCCACTCCCACGCAGTTCCCGTTGATGTCCCTCATTGACTCCAATCAGTCAGAGCGGGATTTTGTGGCTCGTGACCATGATCCTGGACAGAAACACTAGGTTCCCACCGTGTAACCAATTTTCATTTGAATTTTAAAGAACAAGGTGATGTCCAGGGGCTGACATCCAAGGAGCAGCACTGTTTGTATTTCCAAAATCAACAACCTGTTCTCGGATGATTGCCAACAAAATTTTTTTGAAAACCACACATATACCTATAGATGTGTTCCAGGAATTGGCTTCGTAATCATAAACATAGACTTTTTGATTCACTACTAACAGCAACACCGAGCCAGCGATATGTGCCGATGTTACTTCCGGTATGCCGACCTAAAAATAACGACACGTAGGAGATCCGTGAGTGCATCTTTTGAGAGGATTTGGGAAGTGAGACATCTAGATGCGCATTTAAGAGACATGCATGCTATAGCAAGAGCTGTGTGGTTCCTAGGTGCTGGGAACGGTATATCCTGGGGTCGGAGCCAAAACTGGGCGGTTGGAGTTGGTGTTCGGTGCCCTCGGATACCTGAATTCTCTCTAATCCCCTTCTT